AGGAGGTGTGGGTATGTTGGAGGAGGTCTGTCTCTGAGGACCAGGGTTTGATGTTTCAAAAGACTGGGGGCATTCCCATTGCTTGTGGATCAGGATGTAAGCTCTCGGCTAGTGTTACAACGCCATGCCTGCCAGCTTGCTCTTGTGCTCTCCACTGTCATGATCATGGTGGAACCATGAGCCCAAGTAAGGTTTTCTTTTATGGTAGCCTTGGTCACACTATCTAAGTAATCAAGAGTGTCATAGAAGTGCTTCTTTGTAAGAAGGGGGACCTGAGTGTGACACCTGAGGACTGACACCTGCTGAGGCTGTCCTTCAGCTTCCACATTGGGGCTGTTGTATGCCCACACTGATATTTGTACACGCAAATGTGCACACACACCATATGCACAAAAGAGGTAAAAATAAATAAGAATGGAAAATTAAGCATAGACAAATGTATTTATCCAAAGACTTAATATCTATTGTGATATTTTACACATCCTAGGAAGACTTCTGATCAATATGAGACAATTTATGTGGTTATTGTCACAGCAGCTTCCTGTAGTACTGAAAAAAGTCAATGGAGTTTTCCAAAATGAGTATTTCATGAAGTCACATGATTCAGTAACCACATGGTTATTATTAAGGTGACAACTTTCATCTTACTGACATACACTCCGTTGTAGTTAGTAAAACTGTTCTAAAAGTGTACATATTCAGACAGTTATGTGACCCAAGTTTAAGCCACAGCCATGAACCACTAATACATACAGCTGCTGTTCATCAAAATGAGTTTGTAACCCATGAATTATGCACAACCACCACAAAATAGACATGTTTACCATTTCCTCACATTCAACCTATAGCTCAAAGAAGCACTACATCAAAAAATTCTAACAATAATATTCATGTCTGAAATATGATGCCCAGAGTTATATTGTTTGGATTTTTACCAAACTTAAAATACTGTCTTCTAAAATTGCCTCAGTGTATTTATAAAAAACTTGTGAGTAAACCAGAGCATACACAGAAAGTTGCACAAGAAAAGCAATTCAGACACTTATGATCAATTTCTTTCCTTTACATGTTCTTTCTTTGTTTCTATCTTTCAATAACCCTTCTAATTTCCCTTATAACTTTTGGCTTATCCACCTCAGCCTTTTTCCACTATAATTTTCCTTCACAACTAGGTTTAACTCACTTTTCATGGCCCCTATTCCTTGTAATCTTTCACATGTCACCCATGCTTCAGTTGCTAAGTCGTGGCTGTCCTACATACCCAGTTCACATCTTTATCCTCAGCTTTAGACATGAACATCAGGTTGACCAGCTGCCCTGGTCACTTGGGTCCACAGAACTTTGATGTCTATAGAATTGTCGCTGAACTCACCATCAATGAGTTGCAAGTTCCTGCTGAGTGGCTTCCCTAAGCCTGGGTATGGATTAGGCTTCCCATGTATAATTAACAAACTATCTCCCTTTATGAAGTTCAGGTTCCCTTGCATTCCTTAGTTGTAGTCCCTGCATCCGGGAGTGAAACCATTTGATTGCCATCTTTAACTCCCTTTCATCATTACAACGCATATTCAGCCATCTCCTCATATTTCTCTCATCTCCTCATCTCCTCACAGCTTTTGAGCATGTTTCTCTGTTCATTACTTCATCTTTCACAGGCTTAGAATAAGTTGCCCTTATTGCTAACTTGCAGTGATCCTCTAAGATGTTTTGTCTCTATTCAGCTTAGAAGCATTCAGTGGCTCTCAACTGACTTTAAAACAAAATCCAAACTGAACATGGCGCTAAAAGACTTGAATATTAATTGCTCATTTACATGTCAGTGCCATTGAACATAATGATAGAAGGAATAACAGAGCAGCAGAGATGGGATGCAGAAAGGAAGGTGGTGAGTAGTTCCCTTCCGAGGGTGCAATGAATTAGGAGAAAGAGCCTCAGGGTCACAATGAGCCTCAAGAAGAGAGGAAGAACCTTAGCCAGAAACAGTACAGCATAGGGAGATCTAAACCTGCCGAGACTTAAGGAAAGGAGAGGCTTATCTTTGAAGCCTGGAGAGAAGCTCACAATTTTGGCTATTGTGGATGGCCAGTGAGTCCCTGGGAGCTCCTCTCTCTGCCCTCTAAGCACTGCATGCTGTCTTACTTAGCTTTGTGATACATGGTTCCATAACTGCAATTTTCTACTGTTATGAATCATAATGTAAATATCTTTTATGTAGGATATTTGATGTAACCCCTGTGAAAGGGTCATTTGACCTTTAAAGAGGTTAAGACCCGCAGGTTGAGAATCACAGGTTAGAGCTTCCTTCTGCTGCGACATGTCAGTCAGTCTCTACATTCTTTCCATCAAGCATTCCCATAGGCTACTTGGGCTAAACACTGCTGAGAATAACAGCAAACTTGCCACATGTCTCTCCTGATTCCATTTCCCCTGATGTTTTATAATGCAAAGCTGGGTATCTGGCAGGAATTCTATACTTCTTATGCCATTTACCCCTCAATCTACTCTCTATAAAAACCAATGCTATCTGTGCATTGGACAAGCACAGGATATATTTGGAAAGGAGCCTGAAGAGACGTGGCAGCTTTAGTATCCTACCTTCAAGTCAATAATTCACAACCTTTAGCAGATGTGTCTCATGGTTTGAGATTCATGGCTTTGACAACTTCTTTGTTTGGGAAAATCTGATTTACCTTTAGGCTTTACTCTTCTATGTTTTTTTAATATATAGCCCTATCATAAGTCAACCCTTTAAGATCCACAGAAAGTTTTGTAGATTGACTAAGTCACATTTACTGACATTTCAGCATCTTAAGCTTTCACTTTACTTTTGTTCAGAACTCAATCAAGAAGGTCATTGAAGCATTTCTTGTTTCCAAACTTAGAGTATCCAAAAATCAGAATAAGAAAAGAATTAAACTAATTTCGTGACCTTTACTCCAATGGACTTGACAGAAAAATCAATAACTAAATTTACTTAAAATATTAAGTGTGGCGATGCATAATGGAAGCAAAGAACTGGAAATGGCTTGTTAGATTCATTGAGGATGAGGTGCATAGAAACAAGATGCTACCACAAGCAAGCTCTAATCTGTGTAAATAAGATCCTGTGTATTCACCAAGAAATAAGTATCTCCAAATGACTTCTGAATCAATCCACTGATGATGTAGAGAAGGAAGTGACCACACTATGATTAACAGTGACTACGAAGGAGCCATTAGGGTAAGACTAGAGAGAGAAGGAAGAATATGTCTGTATATGGGAGATTCCCTGACTCAGCTCAATATTGCTATGGTAACCTATATGTAGTTAAAACCAATGGAAAACTATGGCAACTCAATCCAGCCAAAACTACTCTGGTGGTTTGAATGAAAATAGCCTCCATAGGTTCATATATTTGAAAGATTGGTCCCTGTTTGGTGGAACTGTTTGGGAAGGATTAGGAGGTGTGGTCTTGTTGGAGGAAGTCTGTCCCTAGGGTTGGGCTTTGAGGTTTCAAAAGCCCATGGCATTCCCAAATATCTCTCTGTCTCTGCCTCATGCAGATGGATAGGGGTATAAATCTCAGCTATTGCCTCAGTGCCATGTATACCTGCCTGCCTCTTTGCTGCCATGCTACTTATCATGATGGTCATGAACTCACCCCCTGAAGCTACAAGACTCAAACCCTCTTCTCAATATGTTGCCTTGGTCACAGTGCCTTACTATGGCAATAGAAAGTAATTAAGACAACAACTAAAGCTCTAGACCCTTTAGGAATGGAAATTTGAGTCACTGAACAGATAAAGAGCCATAGTTGGGTGATGTACTTCCTAAGGATAGCAGAAGAAGGTATGATCATGTGACCAGTAACAATGAGGACTACAACTGTCGTGAAGTTGTAGTCCTGTTCGTTATGACCTTTGTTTGCCCATATATTTGGCAAGCCTTATTTAACATATTTCTATGAAAGATAGTTTGCATGAAATTAGCATTTGAGGTGGCACACTGAAAACAACAGATCACCCCTCAACACACATGTGGCTATTACCTGACCTTTCCTGGGCAGAAAGAATTCTGCAAGCACAGTGTTAGCCTGAGTCTCCAGTCTGCAATCTAACCTCTATTGGATTTTGAACCCACTAAACTTCCACAATTACAGGAGCAAACCCCTTAAAATAAACCTTTTTCTCGTAGACAAGTATGCAGGTAGATAAATACATAAATAAATGCATACATAGGTAGGTAGAAATAGGTAGGCAGGTAGATAGAGCTGTATATTTATAAAGAATGGTAGCTATCCTCTGACATCTACTGGGGCTTGCTTCCAGGATCTCCCACAGACATCCAACCATACAGATAAGTCCTTTTATACAATGGTGTAGTATCTGAATTGCTTTAGGTACACCCACCTGTATCCATTATATCACCTCTAGATTTCAAATAATATTAGATAAGTACATATGCCACATAAATTGCTATTACACTATAGTAATAACAACAAAGAAAAAGTCCCCATATGTTCAGTACCAAGTGTTTTTCCCAAATATTTTCAATTCACATTTAAATCTTATCTTTCTTTAATACACAATAATTTATTCCAGTATTAAAGTCACCACTTAAAATCCTTAGTATTTCCTTTGCCACTTTATAGGTGATACAAATACATTCTCTGAATTGGCTAGAAATAGGAAATATGATACTATGAGATGAGACCCAGACTATTAGAAGGAAAAATAATTGTTCTGTAAGAGGCAGAGAAAAAAATTACTGATTGCATGTTTTCCACTTGGGAAATTATTGGATTTTGGAAATCTCCCAGTGCCCATCTCAGCCCCACTTTTCTTTCAAGGTAATGCTCCAGTAGATAAGTCATGAATAGTCATATGGTACCATGGTGTCCATCATATGTGCCCAAAAATTCTAGGCGATGAGACAATCCAAACACTCCCCATTCTCCCGGTCTCCAGGGCCACTTACGCCATGCTGTCTGGTTCAACTGCACATGCACCCACAGCTTTTGTGACATTCACAAGAAGTGCTTGGTTTATTCCAACCAGGAGGTTCACGAGAGGTTGGATGCCACCACACCTCCGGACGATGACCCGGTTTTCATATTCTTGACAGCATTCTCCTAAGGCCCCAACCACATTCACAAGGACTTCTTCAGGCTGATCAGTTAAAAGTCCCACCAGCGTCTCAATGGCTTTGTATTCTCGAAACCTTAAGTTCAGAGAAAGAAGGTTGTGTATAGTCCAAAGTTACTCAGAAAAATAAGTCATACTAAATAATTATTTATATAAATTTAGCCATGTATTTTCATTACTGTATTTTCAAAGCTCATTTGACTCATATAACAAACAGTAGACCCCATATAACCTCCCTTATCCGACGATGACTGATCTGAAGCTGGTTAAGTACTGAGGATCACACTCATACCCAGCTACCTGCTACCTAGACATGTTCTGGATCATGACACTGGATGGCCTTTGGTACAGATATGATCACATATGAATCTTAGCACCTGTGAATCCATCCTAAATATTTTTCCTCTCATAGAGATCGATTTATATGAACAAACCATATTAAACTTGTATTAGAAATGAATTATATATTTTCCTTTTTGACATATACATAGCACCTTTATATTTCAAAAGATTTTAAAAGTGATTTGTTCTGACCTATAGAAACCAGGAATTACAATCCACTAAATAGACTCAAGGACAGAAACCATATGATCATCTCATTAGATGCAGGCCAACATCCCTTCATGATAAAAGTCCTGGAAGATCTAGGACTACAGAAGACATATCTACACATGATACAAGCAATATACAATGACAGCCAACAGCATGCTAAATGGATAAAAGCTTAAAACATTTCCACTAGAATCAGGAAAAAGACAAGATTTTCACAGGGTTTTAAAGGGAAAGTCAAGATGAGATGAGCTCGGCCAAAACCCATGACTGGCTAGGTCATATGGACATAGTATTGAACTGTATTCTAAGTTCCAACCTTCATCTATAGATCAGTGTATCTCTCAGATTTCACTGGAGAAACATCTTTTTGCGGTACATGCTGATTAATACAGAGACCCACACTACAGGTCCATAAGTCACTGTGGAGTACTTATCTAAACAATCTCCCCCTCAAGTCTCATGCATCATCACAGGAGAAGAACCAGGAGCAGCTGTCTGCTGTGAAACAGTATTTGGTAGACATAGGAAAACAGCTGTATACATCAACTCAATAACCAGGAACTTCATTCACAAGATTGTCCAAAATACCATCATGGACAAAGTAGGGGATCATGAAGCCCCAACCCAGTATGAGGAGCTACTGGTAACTAATGGTTAGTGGGAAGGGAAGAGTCAGTTCTCTGTAGGGATGTGGCTCTGAGAAGTTACGCATACTCAGTAGATGGTCTTATACTCATGTATAGACAGGCATCACTACTGGATTCAGTGGGTATTATAAAATAATCAGAGTACATGAAGTTGGAAGGAAAAAGAGGAGGATAAGGGAGGAATTGGAGAGGTAAAATTGGGGGTGAATTATTTGATCTAAACATTATAATACACATAAATATCAAGCAAAATATTTTAATTTGTCTTCTCAGGTCACTTCAGTAAAAATCACTAGTAAGTTTTAGCATTTGTCTTCATATAATTTTACTGTCATCTTTTTCAGTATGTATTTAAATCATATGAAACATGTATAAAAGCATAAATTTTAGGATTCCTGATTTTTGTATAGAATATTCATTCTCATTTCTAATAAACTTCACCAGTGTTTATGTATCAAGATATGAATGAATTTTTATTGCTGCCACTAATAGAGTTTTCATTAATGGGGCTTACTTTTAGTGTGCTAATAATTTGATCATATATTATTAAGCAAGCTGATTTTCTGTTACAAAATGCAAATTTCTTAAATAAAATATCAAATAGAGAAAAAAGTTTCCTCAGAATATTCATGGGGACTGTGATTTCTAAATAGACACAGAGAAAAGTTTAAAATCAAAATAAATAAAATTTATAAGTATTCTGTAATTTGTTTTAAAAATGTAGGAATATAAGGGCCAGGGATGCAGCTCAAAGGTGGAGTGCCTGCTTACCAAGTACAAATCTTGGAGTTCCATCCACAACACCCCAAACTCTTAAAACATAATTAAGTTAAAATGAAATGTAATCACAACTGAAAGTAACTAGTCTTGAAGAGTTGTTAGTTGGCATTCAACTGATACATGTATCTCTTAAAAATATGAAATAGGGGAGGAAAGACAGCTCTGCAGTTAGTTAGAAATGCTTGCTGTGCAATCCTGAGAACCAGAGTTTGGATACAAGCATGCACTAAGAAGCTGGGTGAGTGGTGCCCAACAGCAGCCAGAGTTCCAAGTAGGGGTTGGGGGCTTCCAGCCCAGCTGAAAAAATAAATCCCAAGCTCAATGAAAACACCTGTCTCAAAGGAATAGGTGAGGATAACAGATGAAGACCACCCAACTCCCTCTTCTGATCTCGGATACAAACACATGCACACACATACGCACTTGCACTGGGAAAGACACATGTACATAAAAAGATCATGTCATCCCTGATACACATACAAGTGCTGGGTAGTAGGATGGGAGGGGCCTTTTATTCATAACCATCTTTGCATTCTACCCTTTATTCCAGAATGTACATTACTGATTACAGTCAGAGCCAGACCTTCATTAAAGCACTGCTTGATTGCATTTTATTATAAAACAAATGCCTTACTTACTTGACCACATTCTCTTTGCTGATGGAGCATTTCCAGATTGCCCCAGTGACAGCGGCTAATCGTTCTTTATTGTCTGTGTTATTGAGCAGACTGGCCAAGGGTTTAAGTCCTCCATGCAGCCTAACCAGGTCCCGGGTTTCCTCATCTTCAGCACACTGCACAAAAAGTTAAACCAGAGGCTGTCAGAGATAAAGGTATCTCAAGCATTCAGTAATGGCCAGCGAGGTTCACCTATGAGAGTTCTCTAATGCAAACTACTTCTGTGACAAAACAATGTTCTTGTGTCTCAGAGCAAAGGATTAGGTCTGGGATATCTGGATAGCAGGAGAGACTGAGGAAGGTCAGGAGCTCAAATGGCAACCAGACCAGAGAGTCCTGGCTTTTACAAGTGCTTTTCCTGGGATCAGCCTTCTCCTGTGATTTCAACTGTGGCTCAGTGGTGATTATCTCACATACACCACACACCATACCATACACACACACACACACACACACACACACACACACTAAACCATACACACACCACATCATACACACACACCACTCCACACAATATACACATCACATCATACACACACACCATACTATACACATACCCCACAACACACACACACACCATACACATATACACCACACACACACACCATACACATATACACCACACACACACCACGCACACACCACACACACACTCCTGTTATAAGTTTAACGATACTTTCTCGAAATTCATAAATTGAAGATCTAACTCCCAGCACCTCAGAAGGTAGCTGTGTGGGGGGACAAGGTTGCAAGAGGAAATCCCAGTGAGATGGCATCATTGTGACAAGCATCTAAAAGATGACTGCTTTTTCTCTAAGAGCTGTTATAGCACATACACAAAGACATGGCATGAAGACACAGGGACAAGACAGTCAACTACAAGCCATGGACAGAGGTCTCTGAAGAAACTACCCTGTGGACACCTTGACCACACACTTCCAGACTCCAGAAAACACAGTTCTTTTGAAGCCCCCGGGTTGTGGTTAGCTACAAAAGCCTTAGAAAATGAACATAATCCCCAGCAGAAATGAATCCTGTCTCTGACTCCATTTACCGTCCAGTCTCACTACTCTTGCCTTAAGGGCATTCCTTTAGGTGTCCACTAAGAACAGAGAGACGCTGGTGTGGTCATAACCAGCCAGACGTTCATTTTTTAAGGTCACCCCCACTTCCTGATCATTCTAATTTGTGTTCTGGTATACCTGGCAACAACCCACAAAACACAAAATTAGTGGAGATTGAAATAAGCAAACTCTAAACAAAAAATATGTATACATGATATCCACACACTCTGAGAGCATGCATGCACATTTTATTATCTGATCTTGGTAGAAGAAATGTTCCCAAAATCAAGGTCTCTGAATATAATCTGTGTACAGCAACATGGTACCATTATATACTGCTGAGCTATTTTACCCTAAGTAAATAATTTTAGAAGACAGTGAGAAAGATATGTGTATCTTATTGAATGCAAATAATCAATTAATTGACATACTGATGCATGTTTGAGTACATGGCATCATCAAAGTACAGTAGTTCTCACCCTTATAAGCTCATGAAGACCCCTGGGGTGCTTGCTAAATTGCAAATTCCCAAGTGATTACTAAGATTTGACTCTGAATCCACACTCTGACCTCTGCCATGTTTTCATGCTTGTAACACTAGCTTGAGAGGAGGCTGGGGACCCTTTAGGAGGTATGGATCAGCTGGAAGAATTAAGTCACTGATGTGTAATTGGGGAGTGTGTTATTCCTGCACACTTCCTGTCTCTCCTCTCCTCACTCTCTTCTCTCTTATTCTTCTCACTCTCCTCTCTCCTCTCTGTCTCTGTCTTTGTCTGCCTGTCTCTGTCTGTCTGTGTCTCTGTCTGTCTGTGTCTCTCTCTGTCTGTCTGTCTGTCTCTCTCTCTCTCTCTCTCTCTCTCTCTCTCTCTCTAACTCCTTGCTGGTCTGTGTGGAAGAGAACGGCCTCCACCACTTTCCCTGCCACGTGAACTGGCTGCTCTACAATGACTATATCACCATGATGGTCTGAAACCAAGATTCCAAATCAGTCGTTCCTCTCTTCTTTCTGTCAGGTATTTGAGACACAGTGCACAATAGCATGGCTCCCCAGAGGAAAAGAGCATGTCTTCAGAACCATTGTCTTTAACTACAGGAGCAAAGAGGTACTATGGGGAGAGCTGGTTCCACCTGGTAGATGGAGAAACACTGCCTTTAACTACAGGAGCAAGGAGGACCTGGAGAGCCGGCCCCCACCTGGTAGATGGCCATGGCACAATGCTCCTGCAGCTGCTCGTTCTCACTATTCAAATTCTTCACGAGGTTTTCAATGATCCTCTCTGCCTTGATAGCAGCTCGGTAATTTTCCTAGAAATATAAAAATACAAATATTAATGTGTGTATAACGTGGCTGTAATTATTTACATTTATGAGTGACCATGCCGAACAAATAAACCAGACATCAAAGTCCAAGCTTTCCCATATCTGTCCAATGATAGATAAACCATCAAACATTGGAAAATAATGTGACAAGTGCTGTACTATTTAGTTAGTGCACTATTTGATTTTCTTTCTATAATTTAACAAAACTGACATTGGGGAAGGAGGATCCTTAACTTTCATGTCAAACTTTAAGATTGTTTTCTTAACTAAAGAAAGAAAATGTGGCCTAGGGTGACGGCTCAGTGAATAAAGTGCTTGGCACAGAAGCATGAGGACAGAGGGTCAATCACCAGGGTCCACTTAAAAGCCTGGTGGGCACAGAGGATTGCCTGTAATCTCAGTGCTCAGGAGACAGAGACTGGGGATTCCCAGGGCAAGCTAGCTGACTAGGCAAGCCAAATCAGTGAGAGTCGGGTTTAGTAGGAAATGCTTCCTCAGAAAATAAAACGGAGGGCAATCCAGTAACATAACATCAAATCTGACCTATTGTACATACACATGTACATGAACCCACACACAAGTGCCCACTCACATGTGCGCACACATGTACACACTCATAACCATGTGTTCATATGTGGAAAGCAAGGAAGGAAGAAAATAAGAGAGGAAAAAGGACACACAGAAAAGGCAGAATGGCTTGAGCACCTCTGATGCACATTCTTGCAACGTCCCCACCACTGGAATAAGCATGTCTTCATGAGATGTCTTCAGTAGGCGGGCCAACAAGGGGATGCCCCCAGCTTTACGAATGGCTTCTTTGTTTGAGTGACTCTTGCTGCAGCTCCAGAGTGCCAGGGCCCCACAGCGAGCCACTTCTACGTCTCTGGTTTCATACAGGCTCGGCTGAGTTAGTTCTGTTGAATTCTGTCCACAGTCCAATAGCGCAACCTACAAGAGTAGATATATATAATGCACACAGCCACCTTTTCTATTTTTTATTGTTTGAGTGTGCTTAAGTGTGCATGTGTACATGTGTGTGCGTGTGTGTACCCATATGGACATGTGCATACCAAGGCACATGAGTGCAGGTCAATGGACAACTTGTGGGAACCAGCCTAGACTGTAGGGCAAAACCTCTTTACAAGCAACAACATTATTATTATCACCCACATTATCACTGCCAGTATTTCAGAAACCCAAGCTCTCCAAAGTCATTAAGGCTTTGCAAAGCTAGTTGGATGACTTATGCCTCTCACAACCATGAGGGGAGGGCACAGCTTTGCACGCATGCTAACTGAACCTATTCAACTAAATTACCAGTGTCCTCTTTCTTTTCTTTGTAATGACCAAAGTTACCAAAGACATGAAAGAAAAGCAATTTACTGAAGGGACACAGCAATAGGTCAGGGTGCCCTGTGGAGTAATTAAAGCCAATCCTCCCCAGATGAGGCTGCTTGTCATCCCTCAGGCTCCTAATCTTTATCTGGGAAGGCAGAAATCACTATTTACCCATCTTCCCCCTCTGTTGGCCAAACCCCATGATTGTTCACCACATAGTCAATACCACTGTGTCAAGGTTAGAACAGAACAGGCACTCTTAGTTGACTCTCAATCTCAATTCCAAACTCTAGGTTTATTTACTTAGGTCTCAAAGGACACTGGAGTACAAGGCAGGGAAAGACAAGGAATATGGCCACTGCTTTCAGCTGTGAAGTACAAAAGGGAAACACACACAGAAAGAAAATTCTAAGAAGGCGGGGTTTCGCACAGGGCAGACAGTTATTCTCATTATCCCTCTGAAGTCCAAATTACTTAACTCCCCTTAAGTCTTTGGATAAGCCCTGTAGCGAGAAGCACACCCTCTGTCTTCCTCTCGCTACTCCAGCCAGCTTAGCATGAATCCCGCCACATGAAGCCAGTAGCAACTTTGAAAACTTCCAAGTCCGCTTTGGCCTCATCTTCCTGAAACGCCTTTCCCGGTGAGTCTTTCTACCAAACATCTTCCACAAGCCATCAAGAGGCATCTCCCTCCAGCCTTTCCTGACTTTGCCCCTTCTAGAACTGACTTCCCACCCCTCCTTATTTCTCCACCATTCCCAGGACTGGCTGGCCTCAGCTGAACCCCTACCATTCACACAGCACTTCACCTGCCTTCTCCCTGTCTGACACTTGCCAGTACTCAGGTGTGGTGTACTCATTGTCAGAGATGTATATTTCTTTCTTTCTGCACCCTTACCCTACATACACTGCCACATTCTCAACCCAGTGACCCAACTCAACCATCCAGTACTGACTATTCCTATTCCTAATTTGGCTGCTATTTCAAATCACATTAAAATGAAAGTCACTTTATTAATAGGTTAGTGGAATTGGATAAATGTCTAGGTTCCTATACGTGATGTGACACCCAAGAGCCCATATTTTTCATTTCTTTTTACATTCTTATAAATGATGGGAGTCATTTTAATGGACAGTCAGACCAGTCCACTGTGTATTTTAATACTCAGTAGTTATTGTATTTCTTCCAACATTTAAATATGAAAAAATTAAATGTGTGTACGTTTGATGTGTTTGTAGTGAGTATGGGGGTATGTAAGTGTGTGTGTGTGTGTGTGTGTGTGTGTGTTCATTTGTATGAGCAGGCATGGGTGTGACATGATGCATTTGTGGAAGTCAGAGGACAATCTCCTGTGTCAGTCCTCACTTCCATCTTGTTCAAGGCAAGGTTTCTTGTATACTCCCACAATCTAGCTGGTCTAAGAGCTTTTGGGGATTTTCTTCTTTCCACATTGAATATCACCATAAGAATGCTAGGACTGTAGTTGCACACGGCCATGCCCATAGCTTTATATAGTTTCTGAGACTGAACTTGGGTCCACAAAATTACACAGTATGGCATGGAGCCATTACTGAGGTCTCAAGGTCTCATTGCCAAGGTCTTTTCTTATGTAAAGAAATTTTATGTGGGGAAGCTGAAAGAACTGTGCAGAGATTGTACCACTAACACTCATTGGCCCCAAACCTGCTTCTACGTCAATGCTCTAACCATACATTTATCCACCTACATAGTCATAAGACTATCTTATTTCTGAAACAATTGTATTTTATAGTGCTCACTGATTAGTAGATTTCTGAACACACTCCTTTTCTCACTGTACACATCTAAATTTGGGAGAGGAGATGCAGCTCAGCGGGAAAGCATTTGTATGAAGTCCTGAAATTAAACACCAGAACCACAAAATATAGCACATATAACAAAATATGAATCATCCAACAGATACGTGCCAACCCCAACCTTTTTGTGTAGTACACACAGTATGGATCTAAATGGTGTGTAAGATGCTAAGACAGATAAGACACAACCCTGGTTAAAGTGTAGCAGTAGACGCGTCCAGGAAAACAAAAGCCAGGGGAGACAAGAGAGACACAGGACCAGCAGATATTCTTGCCCTTATACACTGTATTTACCTTTAAAGTTTTTAATTGTATTTAATCTCTTCTCCTGCCCCACCTCCGTGTGTGTGTGCACGAGCATGTGTGCATGTGTGCGTGTGTGCGTGTGCGTGCGTGTGTGTGTGTGTGTGTGTGTGTGTGTGTGTGTGTGTGTGTGTGTGTGAAGGTCAGGGGACAGTGTGAGAGTGCATACTCCCCTTCCATCATGTGGGGGCCAGGATTAAACCCAGGTTGTCAGGTTGGTGATAATGACAAGCATTCCTGTCCACTTAGCTATCACCCTGTCCCCAGTATTTATCTTTCCTAAGGTCTTTGTTGACAAAGAGCTTGAGTAGAATGCTCTTTCTTTTGATGGTAGTTACTGAAATAATCATTGTTCCTGATGATTAAAGTAAGCCTTATATACAGAAGACAAATTGACAAATGCTAGAGGAAAAACACATTTTTCTTTGTTTCTATGACATTCCCCTGAAAAGCCAGCAGTCACTCTGAGATACCTCTGTGACTAGCTCCTTGCATATATTTTTAATTGTGTGTGTATAGGTTTCTATGTTGTGGGTAGCTCTTTAAAATTTGATATCATAAGTATCAATAATTTGATCCTGTTATGATTTTAAATAACATTAAATATCATCTATCTTCCCCTCTTGCTACTGATAATCTTCCAAAACACAATGGTGCTGCTGAACATAGATGCTTTTCCAAAGCATATGGCAAACTTTCACTGGATGAAAGTCATCCACTCAGACTGCTGTCAGCTCTGTTTTCTAAACAGCAATGCAGTATGACTCCCCTTACGGAGGAGAGTCCCCATGTGAGTGACCATATCAGAGACCCCAGGCTACCAAGCCCACTTCCTACCACAAGCCTCATCATTTCTCTTTCTCTTCTCCTCCCCCGTCCTTGCCCCTCTTCCCACCACCCCACTTCCCCCTCTGCCATATCTCTCCATCACCCTAAGAAGTAAGTCTAGGGCCTCACAGATAGCAGGAATCTATCACTGAGCCACAGTGCTACCTCTGTATTATCACCTCCTGTTATATCTGATCTTTCAGTGGATCCTGACACACAACAATATTTTTTAATTATTTATTTGAAAATTGAGATTGAGCACTCTTTTATGGCCCTTGCTAATGTAAATATGTGGACATCATTCTTAAAGACGTGTTATCAAAAAGAAAAAAAAAGACTCCCTGATTACATGTCATGCTGACTGAATGCTCAGAGCACCAGGTAGGGCTGTGTAGGTGACCATTAGTATTTAAAGATGGAAGTGGTGGTACTCACCAGCTTGGTGATGCCTCCATGCTGTCTTACCGCCCGCTGGGCTCTCTTGAATTTGGCGACATTTGCTATGGTCTCAGCTGCCAAACACTTGAGAATCTTGTGTGGAGAATCAAGTATATTAACCATAATTGGTAAGCCCCCAAGGTCAACAATATTACGTCTGATTTGAGGATTATGACTGATCTCCTTCAGGATTTTTAATGAACCAATCTATGTAGGGGAAAGAAAGTGGCAGATGAATGAGGGTTTAATATATACCCAGTGCTATGCTTTTTAAAAAGTCTAAGTCTACCTAAGAGCCTTCCTCAATTAAGGTTTTTAAGAAAAAATTTCCATCCCTGGAAGTTATACACATTCTCTATATTTTCCTTCATTTATGTAAACAGACATTTCTCATTCCAAAAGCATAAGGAGCTAATAGAAAGAGAAAGAACAAAATTATAATGAAAATAAAATGCAGCTAACAGATCACCAAAAATCATAGTGCATGAAAAATAAGATCAGAAGATGTGCCAGACACCCAGAGCTGTGAGAGGACCCAGGGTGTCTCAGCTATCATGACAAAGTCCTTACCTTGCATTTGACTTCATCAGTATCAAGTAGATTTATTAAGACTTCAAGCCCTCCAACATCTCTAATTGCCAGCTGACAGGTCTCTTGAGCTAAGTTGAAATCCTTCATGGAACAAAGAGCAATCACCGTAGCTGTCTGATTCCCCCCCTAGGAAGATGCAATGCCATAGAAAGGTTAAATGAAGCCACATTCCCACACAGATGAATCCACAAGCTATGAAATGTATCTCCCCGTACACAGAACATAAAATTTTTAAAAGTTCTCTGAGTGGGTTATAATTTGTTAAATGAATTATGGTGAGCCAAAGCATGGAAAAGCCGCACAGAGCATCATAAAATGTTATTCCAATTAAACGCCAACATTTACAGTGAGACTCCTTTAAGCAGCTACAACATTGGGTGCTATCAAGCCATTAAAGAGAGTCCAGAGGCACACCTAAAGAGAGTGACTAAAGGATGGGAGTTTTATGTTGGGGTAGTAAATGGTCCCCCTGCCCAGTTCTTGATTAGTGCACTGGACAACACATTCTACATCTGAAATTTTCTCTTACTAAGATTGAGAAATGCATGCATTTGGTCCTCATCCAGTTTTCTGACACATAATTCTTAAATCTTTATAATATTCAAAGTGATAAATGTCTTTTACATGCTAATAACTTGGCTGATGTCTTCTCTTTTGGGTCAGGATTCCAGCTGTTCTCAAGAGGATATAGATAACCCTTAGAGTTAGCATTTTCAGCTTATTAGTTAGCATTGGAAGGGGAGTAGGATTGGAGGTTAAGTTGATCACAAATGGCCAGTAATTTCATCAGTCTCCATAAAAATCTCCAAGTAATGGTGTTTCTGGGAAGGGAGGAGTATGCCCAGAAGGGTACTAGAAGCTCTCGACCAATATAGGTCTTCATAGGCGTTGTAACATTCTTTGTCATAAACCAGTGAGCTGATTAGTTTTTATCAAGTTTATACAAACTAAGGTCATCTAGTAAGCAGAAACTTCCATTGAGAAAATGCCTCCATCAGATTGGCCTATAAGCAAGTCTGCAGGGTGTTTTCTTGATTAATGATGGAGGATTTATTTGGAGGTGCCCAGCCTACTACTGCCTGTGGTGTATCCCTTGAATAGGTGGTCCTAGGTTGTGTAAGGAAGCAGGCTGAGCAAGCCATGAAGAACAAGCCCGGAAGTAGCATTCTTCCATGGCCTCTGATTCAGTTCTTACCTCCAGGCTCCTGCCTTAAGTTTCTGCCTTGACTTCCCATCATAATGGACAATAAGATATAATAAACCCTTTCCTCTCTGAGATGTCTTTGCTCATGGTATCCATCACAGCAATAGAAACCAAACTAAAATGTAGATCGATATTTCTGCCCTGCCCTGTCCCACAGCCATTCAGTCCCAAATAAACACACAGTGGCTGATATAAATTATAAACTGTTTGTCCTATTGCTCAGGCTTATACAAACAAGCTCTTACAACTTAAATAAACTCATAATTCTTATCTATGTTTAGCCATGTGGGTTGGCACCTTTTCTCAGTAAGACTTTCTCATCTTGCTTCCTCTGCCTCTGGCTGGTGACTTGATCTCTGCCCTCCTTTTCCCAGAATTCTCCTAGTTTGGTTGCCCTGTCTATAACTACTACCTGGCTACAGGCCAATCAATGTTTTATTAAATCAATATGAATGACAAATATTTACAGTGTACAAGAACACACCAGCGTTGTAAAGGAGCCTGAGGACTCACTCTCCTTTGTGCAGACCCCATAAACCTCCAGGTGAGCAGAAGCTGCACGCCTTTGTCTCTCTCTACAATGAAATCTGACCAGAGAATAATTAGTTGCCAATACTTACTTTCACATTTTGTCACACACTTGCATCTGTGGAGTTTTAAAAGCTGGAGAAAACATAGTAAAATGCATTTTACTAGCTTCTGAAGGGTTTTCAGAAATGTATCCCATAAACTTTTCCATTTCTGAAATGAATACAATTCTTTTGCTGGTTGTCTTCTGGCCCTGTGCCTCTTCACACGTCTCCAGCCTCCATCTTCTGTAATTCATTATTTCTTTCTTCAACCAGGAGGTGTTTGTTTGCTGTCACAATCAGGTTGCAACATACATGCCTCTCTCCTCTCTCTCTTCTGTGGTGATATCTTGCTTGCATAAATAAAGTCTGTTTGAAGGCCAGAGAATGGAGCTTGCCACTACAATTAAGAACTCCATTTATACTCTCCCTCTCCTTAACCTCTTTGTTTTTTATATAATTTTATTGTAAATATTATGTTGTTTTTTATTTGTATCAGCGAGGATTGACATGGCCCTTCTCATACTAGACACAGACTCTAGCTACAATATCAACCCATGGTTTGGTGGGATAGATAGATGGTCATGGGAACTGCCAAGTAAGTCAGACTTTTACATGCATGAAAGAAATAAAAATTATTTCTTTTTATCCCTTTACAATGAGCAAACTGTTGGCCTACAGTAAAAACTTGAGTGAGCTAATATTTTCTATAACATTTCTTTTTTTGCATGTGTATGGATGTTCACTTGTGTGTAGGTACGTGTGTGTGTGTGTGTGTGTGTGTGTGTGTGTGTGTGTGTGTAGGCCAGAAGTTGACATTGTGTGACTTTTTCAGTCTCTCTCCATCAATTCACATGCTCTGGATCATCAGCTTGCTCTGGGGATCTACCTCACATATGCTAGGAATACAGTCAGGTCCCCAAACTTGTCTGGCATTTACAGGGAGGCCATGGAGCCTATCTGCTGGCCTCATGCATACACATCAAGGGCTTTATTTCAACTGAGCCATCACCCAGCTCAACATTTCTTTTTGAAAGGGAGAATGAAATAAAGCTATTTTTCTAGACAATAAAATCTTCAAAATTGGAAATGTTATACTATCTGCAATACAGTGTAATGCCCCCTCTCACTGTCTATGAGGGAGAAATAAACTGCCAATATGTTATGATAAATAATATTTCCAGCTGTTTCAAATCATTTTGTATTCTTTTGTTAGCATTCTCACTATTTGCCCAATCTGATGACAAGCACAAGATATGAGTAAACAAAACCAGACTTGATCCTGGCCTTTCTGGAGAGCAGAGACTTAGGGGAAGAAAAAGAGGTTTTCATTTTTTAAAAACCCACATGAATGAAAGTAAATAAATACATAATTTTTATTATAGAAGTTTTCAAGTAAAATTTAAAAAATCAATTGGAGTGAATCAAACCCAAAGTCTACAAATCTCAAAGAGCTTCTATGCAGTTAGAAGGGTATGAAATTTTGTCTGGAAAGTACTAGAAGGCAGAGGCATGGGCAACACAGAAGGAGAAGGATACCTTACTGAAATATGTGTGGAAAGTGGGGGCATTCCCTGGCAGCAGAGTAGGGCACACAGTATATATGCAAAGTTGAGAGTGGTGTGGAGCATGGCCTAGTTAAGAGCTCTTACAATCAATGTGAACCAATCTTGAGTGATAGTGTGGGATGCAATGAATCAAGAACCCAAGTGAACAACTACAGCTCTTGTTCAGGGGCCAAGCTGAAGGTTTTAATCTTTAATAGTTTGAGACGGGGCCTCCCTCTGTAGCCCTGGCTGGCTTTCAAATTCTGGCCCTCATGCATCTGCTTCATTAACAGTGGGACCCTGGTGTGTGCCACCACACCTGGATAGATTTTAATCTTTATTTCAAGATTGGCTAGGATGAGCCAATGACATTTCTAAAAGATCGCCCTGGCTGTGAGAGTTCCCAGCTGGAAGTAGCAAGTGTAGATATGCAGGGACATTTGGCTTATTGCAAAGTTTCTGAGAAAAGACAGAGCCTAGAGCAGGAGACTGGGGTAACTCAGCATGCGCCACAAGGGGACTCTGAAAATGAAAGTTCTCTGAATTTTCCTTTGTTCAGGAAATGACACTATCAGATGAAACTCCAGAGACAACACAGATGCAGGGTCCTCGTTAGCACAGATGGACAGGGACTGCTTTGCCTAGTGAAACAGTCAGGAAGACAGAGGCATAATCCCACCCAGATGCCTCTCTTGTACCATTCCCCATCACCTGCAATCAAGAAGCAAGAGGGATGCTTGGTAAAGAAGCTACATAGCCATCACCGCACATTCAGCTGGCCTTGGATATTCTCAGCATTTTTCCTCCAAACATACCACTCTGAAATCAAGAAAAGTGAACCCCTTCCAGTATCTGCTCATTAATTATGACAGAGGGCCCAGTGCCCAGGATCAGAAATAGCAAAAGGTATTCAAGTGACTGGCATGTGACCAAGCGAGTCAACGCAGTAAAAATCCATTGCTTGGCCTTCTGTTTATTTGCAAATCTATTTTATACTGATGAGTCAGCACTCATAAACCAAAGACACAACAGTACCCCAAGAAAAGAGAAAACACTATTTTTAAGGCAAAAGAAAATGTGTGTGTGCGTGTATGTGTGTGTGTGTACATATACACGCATGCACATGTGTATCTAATGAAAATTAAAGTCACACTGTCACTGCAGATGCTTACAAAATCATTGACTTAAATTGGGTAAACATAGATGCAAAGATCCTTTATTTGTTCCTTTAAAATAGCTGCAGGACATTTGTGGAAATTGACAGTTTACTGGAACATTTTAGTGACTAGAATGTGGAAAAGTCTTTGGCAAATGTAATTGCCTTCCTTAAAAGCTACAAGAAAATGAGCTCAATAATTACAATATTTAATAAAATAGTTCAATAAAGTAGCCATACACAAGGATAACATTTAAAATAAATGTATTCTGTATCCATAACCCTAGAAAAATAAACAAAATTGGAAAGTATGAAAATGTCAAAATTAGCATTGATAACAATAAGAAAAAATCCATAAATAAATATTATGAGACTGAGAGTAATATGTGTAAAAAGCTAAATAAAAATTATTATATAAAAACCATAAGAAATGCTTGTTATATATAGGGGAGAGCTAGGGAATTTAGTGACATACAAAAATTGCTAAGTCAATTAATGAGTCATACCAACTTGAATGAAATTCAATGTTTTGTACTTTACTCAACAGTAACTTAAAAATTAATGTAAAACAATCAAAATCCCAAACTTTTTTTTCTTTTAACCATGACTCCTAACTCATTATAAAGATGATCTGAAGTCATATACCAGCA